TGTGGACATGAGCTTCATGAGAGGAGAGGAGGGCTCCAGTTCTGCTTGTTTCTCCACTGTATCACTTTTAACACCTCCTCTCCTGCCTTTTGCAGGATTTCAGTAATCAAGGCCTTTTGTTCCACGCACGCACAACAATCCCAGTGACTGTCCCCAACCCCCCATTGCCCCACTACTGTAGACACACACACACTCTCTCTCTCTCTCTCTCTCTCTCTCTCTCTCTCTCTCTCACTCACTCACTCACACACACACCAGGGGACAGCGGCATTTGTCCCCCACTGATCTGTCCACTCCAAGCGCTTGGCAGACAAGCTGGTGCCTGAGTTCATTGAGGTTCAAGACTTTGACCTAAAGCGAATCAACTATCTAGACAACGTGTGAGTGTGTGGAGGAGGGGGTTACAAAAGAACGGGCCCGATTTCACCACTTTGGTTTGTATTTCTGACATTGCAAGCTGAACCACTGCGTATAGACACCCACTTGTTAAAAGGTATGGTAATATGTGTGGTAATTTAGAACTCCTCTGTCTTGAAAAGAGCTTCCTTCCCTTGCCGTCATTGACCTGAAATATTTTGTAAGTCACAGTATGTTAAAAAAAAAAGTACTGTAAGTGTTTAAATGAGGATGACGACATGTTTTGTAAGGAAAGGTCAAAGAAAGTGTCTAAAGAAAGTGTCAAAGGAGTGGAAGAGGGGTCACACTGATACCTATTTCATTGTAGATGTGTCAAAGCCTTTTTTACAATTTACTATTAATATATACAATAATATTATGTACATTAAAATAATACTAATATAGGTATGCTACGAGGTGTTCTCATGTTGAGAGGCAATCAAAATGCTCGCTTCATCCTCGATTCACCCTTTCACTTCTTTAGACAAACCTTTAAGTCCTTATCATACATCACTCCTCTTACCTGTAGTGCTATTTACCAATCTAGGTTGTTATAGTTTGAGTTACAGATTGTTGGAGATATCAGCCGTCGGGATGTCTGCATTCTCTCCAATATAATGTGACTGTGTGGCTCTGTTTTGGCTGAAGAAGATGGTTACAGAAGATAATTCAAAGACCTTGTTGTGAGCAGTTTCTATTTCTTTCAACCAGGGTTCCTTGAGTTCTTTGAGAGAAGGCCGACATCTCTACGGCCAATATCTCCAAAACAAGGCAACTCACACCAAAACAATCTAGATTGATAAATAGCACACATTTCAGATAGAGGCAACTGGTATGCTTTTTATTATTTGCATCCTTTTTTTGAAGGATGAAATCAGGAAAGGAACATCTTCCATGTGATATGTAACAAGGGACCTTTAACCCACCCCGGTGAGGCCTCTCCACTTTTATCATCTCCCCCCTTTCTTGTCAATGTTTGTGTCTTCACCGTCTCCTCAACCCCCTCAGACTCTTGGCTGTAGCCAATCACACGCCTTAGGTGTGTAGATTAGCTGTGCTGCACTGCACTGTGAACAGAGTAGTGGGCTGGCTGCAAGCATTTAAAATGCAAATAGGGCAACACTGGGACCGGCTCCGGCAGTCTCTCACCTGCTGTGGCTGTGTGTCTGTGTGTGTGTGTGTGTGTGTGTCTGTGTGTGTGTGTGTGTGTGTGTGTGTGTGTGCAAGTGTGACTGTGTGTACTAGCAGGGGAAAGAAGAAAGAGATGAAGCTTGAAGATCTCCACACTATTTAATTCAGCATGTTGACCACCTGAATTGTTTGTAATGAATGCCAAAACACTATCGCATGCAGAACTACCATGGCACTGAACAATGGCACTCACACATCGTGACTGGTTAAGATTTTGCACAACAAATTCAGTGTTCTTTGAGCTATGTTCCTGCTTTTTTAGTCAAGTTGCCTGCCACCACTTCTTCCAAGTTCCTCCACCTGGTTTGGACAACAATTAATAAACAGACCAGTTGCAGTCAGTTTACTATAGTTTGCTTACGTCACTGGATTCAACAGCTGTCTTACCAGCTTGTCCCAATATCCCAAATAGGATTTTGTGCAAAGTTACTGCTGGCTTGAACTTATTGAAAGGGGGATGTTCAGATTGTCATTTCTGTTCAATCTTGATCTTGATATGTACAGTCAAACAATAGAATGAAATAGCATGAATAGGACGACATATTATCTTTAAATGTAACACAATGTTTCACCAAAGTTAGTTTACTGGAATATCTTTTTCTCCACAACTACAGTAAGGCTTTTAATAAAATAACTGCAGACTTAATTGCCAAGATTGTCATCTTTACATTTATTTTAGACCTGAAGACAAGTTTTCAAACAAACACCATGAATAACAATTAATGCTGATGTCAGTGAGAAGAACATCCTCACACGTACTCATTCATTCAGGAAATACTTTGCTGCATTAATTACCATATCTGAAAAAAGAGAAGTCAAACATGTTGAGGTAGACTATTCAAATTCATGTAACATTTTTCTAACGTTAAAATGCAAAATAGCTGAGTCAAAGGGAAAAATACTTGTTAATTGACGACGACAGTTACATAAAAGGGATTTGGTGTGGAGCAAATCCCTTTATCAAAAAACACATGGCAGTAGCACAGTAGGAGCTTGCAAACAAAGGAATGATACACTGCAGTTTATATGTTGGACTATTTGTATCGGACACAGGTGTATTCAGTTGACTCGCACTCATGGAGCCACACTCTGTCAGGATCAACAGGAAGAATGATGTCAGCGTAGACCACATCGTCTGCGTCCATAACCTAAAGACACACATGGCCAATTAACTTCAAAATTGGCCAAAACCACAAAAGATTTTGTTTTTGAAAGAGACTTGACTTACATTGTTGGTACTGGTCGTGTAACAAGACTCATCCAGCAGCTGGCTCCCTAAAATAAAGATAGCAATGCACATATTTATGTTTTACTACTATTGTGTAAAAAATAGCCACTAAATACAATGGTACAGACTACAGACTCGTGTAGATTTCTCAAGTTCAGTTATGTAACTCTACAATTGCAAAATAGTTACCATCATGTTCGGAGAGGTGAAAACAGAACTTATAGGTTATATGTAGCACATCTCCCGTAAGTGATTGCCTCAAACACCACAAAGTGCATTGTGCAAGGAGACGTGTGTGTGGAAGTGATTGTGTAGCCTATATGTATGGATGGGCGAGTCCGCGTGCAGGTATGAGAGAATTCTCCGCAGCAGCAGTTTCAACAGACTCTTTCTATAGGTTCAGGATGTTTAGCAGAACTTACTTGTTCTTCTTCTGTTCACAACAAACAATGCAACCAACGTGACCAAAACCACACATCCCACCACCCCCACAGCGGCGCTGATCGTGTCCTGGTTGCCACCTGAAAATGCAAATTATAATCATTCAACAAGTCAAATTTTTGTATGGTGGAAACCCTAAACGAGTTAGATATGAAGATTGCTACCACTCTCATCATGTCTGTACACTAAATATGAAACTATAGCCAGTTAGCTTAGTTTAAATAAAAGCTGTATAGAAGAGGAAACAGCTACCTTGATTGTGTCAAACGGTAAGAAAATCACTTACCAGCACCTCTGAAGCTCAGGAATTGATATTCAATTTCTTTAGTACTAAAAATCACATGCAAAGATGACATTGTAGTTTTATGTGGGGTTATTTGCAGTATTTTGGGGCCAAGCATAATAACATTGTGGATTAAACTGAGGTTGCTCATGATAAAATAAGATAACTACCTTATCCACTGTCTCCAGCTTCATATTTAGTGCACAAATGTAGAAAGTGGTAGCGATCTTCCCATTGGACTCTTGCCAAAACAGTAAATAAGTGTGTTTCTTTTAATATTTCAATTGAAATGAACTGGAAACTATTCGGTGAACCCTTAGTATAATAGCATCACTCAAAAGTAATCACTTTTTTTTCTCATCTTGAGCTGCCATATATGAAAGCAGACTAGATCTTCCTTACATGGAACTGTAATATCATAAGCCCGTTCAGCAAACACCAGACCATCTCCTCCATTTACACCTGGAGGAAGAAGAGAAATAGGGTCAGATCTTCTACTAGATGTCCGAGATTAGATTATAAAACTATATCACAAGATCAGATTTGGTAAATGTTGCACTTGCCCGTTGTGATAAAAGATAACAGCAACAGCCTCATCACCATGCGGACAATTCCAGGCATACTGTGTGCAAATGTGCACTGTGAAAGGGAACCCTATAGGTTCACTGTTCTTACCCTGAACATTAGTCAACAGAGGTGTCATTTCCTGCATTTGCCAACTTCCTCAGCTAGATAAGGAAAATCTTAACAGTCGTCGGATCTGATTGACAATGTTTCACTTGTATACGAACAATAGAGCTGTTTCAAGTCAGGGTTTAGTTTTGTGTTTGGTGGAAATGAGTCAATAGTTAGGTGGAGTAGCAAATCCTATACCTTTTCTTTTTTTTTCTTTTTATACTTGATATTTTCAGAAACTATATTTCCACACAAGAATAAGAAGCAGAAGCAGAATAACAAGGAGAAAAAGAAGACGTAAAAACAATGTAGGGATTGGGGATCATTTAAATAGAGGCCCCTTTACACAGGACATTGTCCAGTATCCTTTGTTAAAGTGTAAATGAAAGGATTGATTTTCAAAGTGAAGAGTGAAAATGTTCTCTCAATTAAGAGTGAATCACTGTACAAAAACAACATTTTAGACATTACATGTTATCTTTGTAAACCAGCAAAACACATCTATCAAAATCTCAGCACTGGGACACACCGTACAAAAACCATTCTCCTACATGCTTGGCCTTGTGGATTTATTATATTATGTCTGCTAAACAAATAAATAAATAAATAATAAACAAAAGAAAATGTATTTTCTGAGAATAGAGCTGAACTGATCGTGTTTGTGGTGGTCGCACCATTAAAACATTGAAAAACTCAACAACAGACCTCACTGACTTCTTCTTCTTCTTCTACTACTACTACTACTAGCAGGAAGCATTACACGTGCTTGTGCTTAATGCTCAAGTTATTAATAAATCTGTGTAGGAAGAAAAAACATGAGCTCATGAGTTTTCATATGAGTAAAGCCTCATGATTACACTAACAAGATGCTGTGTCATCCCTGACTGACAATAGCAAACACAGGAACTTATGTTTTTGTGATTCCAACTTCATATCTGGCATTTATTTGGATATCTACATATAGACATAATAGTGTTGTACAATATGTGTCATTTACAAATAAAAAGTGTCTCCACTAAATGTTGCACCGGTCCAAACAATACATTGAGGTCAGATCAGTTGATGCTACTCAACATAGACAAGAGATTAGAGCAATCCTTGTCACAGGAGGGGCCCATGGTTATCATCATCTGATAATTATGGGGACTACTTTCATAACCCATAAGAACAATAGATTCTGTGAATGTGGAATACTGTATTTATCAGTAAACATGTAGCGAGGGTACACACAAACAACCAGCTGCTGAATCTCTTTTATTTAGCCATTTGTACAGATCCTCAGTGACAAATAGGTAATGTATGACTCTGTTACAAAAATATCACGTCTCAGTTTTCCCGTTACAATCTCTTCAGTGTAACAGCGAAATCAAACTGGTCAAATAGAGCCTTTAAAAACTGCTTCAACTCAGACATTTAGGGAACCAAACAACTACATTAGAGTGAAAAATATATGTTATATATGTATATATTTACACCACCACTTCAACATATTGCATCGTTCACATTAGCTGGACTACGTGTTAGCTGTCAAATGGCAATCACCAAAAGTTTCAAGATAAAATCTGCCGTAAACTCATAACAGTCGCTGTTCTAGAGGTGGAAGTATTGATTCAACTCAAGCGACCTCTACAGACGTGCCAAAGAGCTCCACTTTCGCTTCTCAAGCCTTGGAGAGTCCCATGGTTCTCACCAGCATTAGACAAATAAAGTTAGTGACATTTCAATTTAGACAGAAGTTTCTCATTCAAAACACCCGTGAGTGATTACAGTCTTACATTCAACATACTGAAGGTCTAGTGCATCTGTGACTCCTTGCTCTCAGTCAGCCCGTCAAGAGATTCTTTATAGACAAATGAACAGCAGGCATTCAGCAGTAACCCGCTGACCATTTACTGCAGCGATGGGCACCGACACCTTTTTGCACGGGGAAGAGATTTGATTGCTTCACAGAGAGATATTCAACATTCAGGCATAAATATACAGAAAAAGAAACATCAGATACTGACCACACACACACACACATATGCAGAAAGCAGACAATCCCCACTCATTAACAATACCTGTACATTATTAAACAAATATAGTCACTCACAAAATAAAGAAGTTGCATTAAAGCCCCAATCCAGATGGGGTACAGTCTATCTACCATGGGCACATGCGTCAAGTTTCAGGGAGCAATACCTTAAACATCTTACACAGGGGCATTAGACGGACGTCTTTCTGCTCAATAAGTAACTTTATAAATTATCTTTATTCAGAGGGCAGTTTTCTTCACATATTAATATGCGAGTTGAATACGAACAGAGGCAAGTCAATTAGGGCCATCTTAAAGGATATAATAATATTTATATATATATAAACTTTAAAGTGCAGTGGCACACGTAGCACTGTGTTCCACTTCTGGATCAGGCCTTTGATACAGCAGTGAAGTTACAATGATAAAACGTCACAGTTTGGTCGAACACAACATGCCAAACGGACAACTTAACATAACACCATCAGTCCCGTTTCACACACAGATACGCTTTACATTCGCTGCCGCCGCCCACCACCACCATCCACCACCACCACCACCATCCACCACCAGACCAGTGGGTTTCTGGTCACGGACATGTGCTGTAGTGAGGAGTAGATTTCAGCTGCAACATGTTTTGGTTTGAAAGCAAACGCGCGGTAAGAAGTTCCACACACATATTAAATGCTACATTCCATCCCTCTCTCTTTTGTTTGGCTCCTCAGAAGATACAGTGCAGGTATGCAAACAGGTGCTTCAGCTTTCTTTCCCAAAATAAAAGTATTCATACTATATTATATACATATTTCATATAAGGCAGGATGTTTCCAGTCTACATTATAAAGAAAATAATCTAAATCAATGATATGTACAAGGAGAGTTAAACACTGCACATTTCAACAGATAAGTAATAGAGATATCAACCTTTGTCTCTAGACTGTACACACTATAGCCACACCTTTAGTCTACTGGATCAGTAATTAGTTTAGATCAGTGGCTTGTCAGAAATGTCTTACAGATAAAAGCTGCTGTTAAAAACCGGTTTCCTTTTTGACATGAAAGTAAAAATAATATAAACCGGGTGTTTTTTGACTCAAAATAGGGAATGACTGATCTGATGCGAGACAGAGTCCGACAGTAATAAAGGGTTTGTGCGTATTTTGTCTCTCCATGCTTGTAAAGTGCCTGGGCTGAGGCCTCTGTGCTGTCACAGGCTGGAGGGCTGGGCCTGCTGCTGGGCCTGCTGCTGGGCCTGCTGCTGGGCCTGCTGCTGGGCCTGCTGCTGGGCCTGCTGCTGGGCCTGCTGCTGGGCCTGTGCGTGGTGGTTTGGCTGAACTGCCTCACAGTCTATAGGTCCCTCCTGCACCCCCCGAGAGTATATGAGGATGAGGGTGACGGTGGCAAAGGTAGCTGCATTCACAGGGAAGGCTCGTAGCAGCGTGGAGGTGAGGCCTCGCGTGAACACCATGTAGCCCTCTCTCCTGACGCTCTGCCGCACGCAGTCGGCGATGCTGCTGTACTGGTAGACTCCACCCACCCCGTCCGCCTGCAGCCGCGATTTGATCACGTCCACAGGGTAGGTGGAAAGCCAGGAGGCGATGCCGGCCATGCCCCCAGCGAACAGCAGTGTGGGGATCATGTAGCGGTCGTCCGGCTCACAGCCAATGCTGCGCGTCAGCACGTCGTAGGACAGGAAATACACTCCGAAGCCAGGTGTCTCGCGGATGAACGTGGTGACCATGCCTCGGTTTACACCCCGTAGACCCTCCCGGTTGTAGATGCGTGCCAAGCAGTCCAGGGAATTCTTGTACAACTTCCTAGAGGACTTCTTCTCTCCAGTGCCCTGCAATTGCATGCGGGTTTTGGCCAACTCCATGGGGCAGCAGATGACAGACTGGATAGCACCTGCTGCTGCACCAGCGAGAAAGTGGTTCATGGGGGTGTCATGTGCCAGCATCCGCATGGTGTTTCCCTGAACACCAAACACTATGGCATTGATGAATGTCAGGCCCATCATGGGGGATCCAATGCCTTTGTACAAACCAAATACCTGCAGAGGAGGTCAGAGATGTCACATTAGACAAGATAGTTTTACGCATCACGAGAATGTTTTTAAATAAACAAAAACATTTAGGTTCTTACTTTAACGGTTTGACGTTACGTAACTTATTTAATAGATAAAACGCAGGTTTTTAAATCACCTTTTGTGCTCATAATTTCAAAAAGGTTATCCAGCATGCAATGTTTTCAGAACAAACAGAACAGCCATTATCATAAAAAAAAAAAAAAATGTAAGCACTCCTCCTAACAGCTGAATATGCTCCAAAGTGTTTTAAAGTAAACAAAGTTACAGGCTTCCTGTAATGAAGATGCCTGCAGTAAAAGCCCTGAGGCTGCTTAAATATTCATCCTGGAAACAAGTGCTCCTTCAGTTCGCCCAAAGCAGTGATCTGCTACTGGTTATTCAGTCAATTTGGATAACAAATTCTATGATGTGTATACTTCTCAGGCTGACAAAAAGTTGTCCTTATTGCTCGGGAGAAAACATAATAATAAGTTATTAATTAAAAAAAATCGAGAATTATACCAGAAGTAGAAATAAAAAAAGAGACTAAATGAATCCGGTCAACAGAGGGAAACTAAAAACAAAGCTTGTAAATAACCAAACGTGTCTGAAAACAGTTAACAGAACTACACTTCAAGTTAAGGTGAAGTACTCCGTGTTAGGACCAAGAGGGACATAACTCTGCTATCAGGTCACTCTGACCTCACAGACTTTTAACTGGAGACCATAATAAGAGCCATGGTGGCTGGACCTGGCTAAAGTTAGCTTCTATCAAACAAAGCGATTGCATAGGTGTCATCGTGAGCAACAGGCACAGAAAAGTAGATGCCACATAACAATAAGTCACCTGAAGAAAGAACAGGAAAACCTTCACATGCTTAACAAGCAGACATACTGTACATACCATAGTCACTTAGTAATATTACTGCGTGGCATATATTAGCAATAAATCCACGTACCGTCTCCTGCCGTATGATGGACTGGAAACAATGAAAGGTCCCACGATACAGCGGCTTATCAATACTCTGGACCTGCAGCCTCACCTGGAAGAGAAGACATTCAGTGATCATTTAAACCATGGAAAGACAAACAGTTCATAAGAGAGGACAGGGAGTAAGAATTTGGTTGGCTGTCTACAATGTACAGTGACGACATGGCAACTCGATGTAAAACATTTGGCATGAGGCATTCAATACATATGTTGAAAACAGATCGACATATCTGTCTAACAGTTAATGGAAAGTTTCAGGGTTTTTTTTTAACAGAGAATTACCTAAAAAAAGTCTATAAAGTTGTTATCAAGTTCTGTACCAACATGGTGCCTGAGAAGAAAACATTTCCCCACCTTGACTGTGTCAAAAGGATGTCCAACCAACACTCCAGCAGCACCTGGAGACAAAGGAAACAACTGTGAAGATATTCTTAGTCTTAATTACCCTGACAGTGTCTACACATTCCAGATTATCTGATTCTTTTCAGAGATCTGGACCACATCGGGCCTTTTTAACCAGTCTTTACAAGACAATAAAACTCTTGCTGCTGGCACTGTTGTGTAATATTAGAGTGTGCTGCCATCTCCTCTGGGGTAACACTGCCTTATTGAGCCTGAGCCAGCTCGCTGGGCCGACCTCACCCTCTGAAACGTCCCTTAGGGTGCCTTTGAACGTTACATAACCAGGAATCTTGCAGCGCATGCCAACGTTCTGAAGTCTCATCTCAATCTATGATCAAACCTGACAACAGTTCCTGGACAGACCACAAACAACACTAAAAGAGCTAGCCCATAAACAAACAAAGGAATGACAGCATTAGGTTTTTACAGGCAAGGTCACGTACAAATTTGACATTTTGCAATACTGTTTATTAATAGTGTGGTAGCTACGTATGGATGTGTCAATGAGTAAGACGGCTTTATGACAGATTTTCATTGTATATGATCATGATATCAGATAACGGTTTTCGTACTATATCATGATATACTATATAAATATTGTGACATGATGATTACAAAGAGGATTGTATCTATATCTTCCATTCCAAGGAGGTTAATAACATCTAATGCTGCAAGTGTTTTCATTCCTGACAGATGTAATGATTAAATGAAATAATGAAAACAGTGGCATATATCCATCACAAGTTGGTAAACAAAGAGTTGAATTACTGGCCTGCCTGTGTCAGCCACAGTAAACAAACCACGGGCAGCTTATCCGTCATAAGCAGCTGCTTTGTCACCTGCCCCATTTGTAAATAAGAGCCAATCAGGAATGAGTCCCAGCTGTAAGCCAGGAAAGGAACACAAGCAGGCGTGTTTGACACAATGAGTACAGGTCATTGACCTCAATGCACTGGGACGATCCGAGTACAGGAAAACAAGACGAGGGTGTTGCATCACCATGGCCAACGTGTCACCACCCATCTTTTAATGTCTGAACATGAACGCAAGCGTTACCCTACTTAACTAAACTTGATTTGAACTAAGCACAAACTAGGCCGTCCTAAACTGCAACAACCAGTTTCCCATTTGTCTGCCAAGCCAGGTCTCTGTTAAGAAAAGAAAGCATGAGATTGGTCTGTGAATGGGGTGTGTACTGATTCATGATTCATGGCATCTGACAAGCCATAGCTTGAATGCTCAGGTTGCACTTGCGTAATGTTTGCATGCTTTAAATTCTTAACAGGGTGACACCAGTAATGCAGAAGGTTGGAGCACCCTTGGTTAGCAAGGAAGTAAATATTTATTTTCCTAGAAGACAATCTAATATGCTGTAACCTGGACATACCAGAGACCTGGTTGGCTCAATTCATTACAAATTATGTATATGACAACCTAATCTTCTGGATATCTTTACACTTCCTCAAAGTCAAAAGTCTGCCACTGTGTGAGATGCAATCAGTGGTATTTCCAGCATTTGCTTTGATGTGCCGACTTGCGGTGGAATTTGAAAAATGCAATCTTGTGAAGGAGTTGTATCACTTTAATTAAGGGACGTTTCACCACAGACAGGGCACGCTACAGCGTCCCATATCAACTTTGGCTATATGTCAACTTGAACGTTAAACATATAACAAAATACAAGATAAAGGGTCTGACAGAGACTTAACGTACCTCCGATGCATCCAGCAACGAAGTCCATCACCGCTCTTCAACGTCACCGAGCTGGAGGACTAAATATCACGTTACCTAACGTTGACTGAAGAGGCCCTTTAGCAAATCTGTGAAACGTTGATTTTGTTTCTCAAACCAGTTTCCTTCGTTGTGCAGCTGACAGTCACCGTCCCTAGCTGTTTAATCTCGCTAATAGACTAACTGACACTTCCCTTTAGTCTCTATTTAGCTAGCACTGGCTAGCTAACTCCGAGTCCCGTTCTTATGCAGTCCACAAATGCTAACAATTATATTTTGTTTTTCAATGTATTGTTTAGCTTGTTCTCAATCCTCTCCTGTTCACCTTAACGACCTCACACAGCGGACACCCTCTACACTTGTATTTATCAACGGTTTTTTTTCTTCTCTATAGCACGCTAACTAGCGTCGGCAGGAAATTATTATTGGAGGGGCGGGAATTACCGGCCTTTTTATCCAATCAGAGTGAAGCAATGACGCCGGCGCCCCACTTCGGACGTAATGCTCGTCATTCATTGGCTGCTTAACCACCAGAGGGCTCCCAGTGTTGAAATGCGTCATAGCGCTCGTGATGTGTTGCTTTTGAATGGACTGTCCCAGAGCCGTGTTTATTGAATCAATTAAACGGCTCGTCATTCACAAATGTGTTCGATACGTTCATGTACTGATCATAACGAAATTGTATAATATGATACCTGGCAATACGCTTTAACAGTTCCGCTGAAAATGATTTGAAAAGTGTCGTTTTTTCGTGGTTCATTATGAAATAATTACAGTGGTAAAATGGTGTATTTTGTTCAACTTTAATCGTTGTTGTACGCCATATCCACAACTTGCCTACGCTGACCGTTATGTATTTCGGCTGCCTTCGGTTGAAGGCGGGACCAACGATTATGTGACGACCCAGTTCATCCAGTAGTAAGCTGCTGCTACGTCTCATAACAGCAACACATTCAAGGTTACCGATCCACACTCGAGGCAGAATGGGCTCACACCTGAACAATATCTGTTGGTCAGTCTCCATCTGACAGGATGCATATCGTTGATTTTGTGTCTGGATCATTTGCAGGTAACAGCTGACGCTAGTTTGTAGTTACTGTCAGTTAGCATGAGCAGGCATGTGTTTGCTAAATGGCTAGCTACGGTATTAGCATGGACCGATAAACACGTGACAGTTTATGGGAAGATTAGATTAACCGTGACGTTAACTTGTGACGTTATATCACAAGTTATATCTGTACTTCACCCTGTAAATGTAGCCTGAATAACTTAAGGAGTAGCAGAAGTAGTATTTGGCAAATACCTGTCATATGCACACTTGACAAGTATCTCACGTGCATGGGGTAACACAGTTAGGTCTCACGTTATTCAGCTCAAAATCATTTCTTAGATTTGCTTAATTTGTGTTTTCAAGGCTATATGTTTGAGATGAAGATGCACATTATAAACAGGTTTTCAGTTAAAGCCCATAACCTTGTGCATCACTGTGTTTCTGCTGTGTCCTTGATGCTCCCTTTCCTCTGGACACACAGGAGCATGTGGAGTTGCAGTGGGCTACCCTCTGGACACTGTGAAGGTACACTATTTGTATATATAATAAATTATTATAATATAATAAATTGATGTCGTTTTTACGTCATATTCTTGTTTTTTTTAGGTCCGGATCCAAACCCAGAGACAGTTCACCGGGATATGGCAGTGTGTAGCGGCGACATTTTCAAAAGAAGGGGTAAGTGGAACAGGTGTAGACTACATACCAAGTGTGCCTGCTACTAAATGTTGTCAAATGACTCTGACAAGAAACCAGAACCAGGACTGAGTGGAGCAGTCTGTAAGACCCTTGCTGCAGTAAAATTAGAGGTTTTCTAAAGGGGCTCTGGTGCTCGGAAACACTACCCCTTTCGTCCACAGTGACAGCTTGAATCGACACAAAGTGAGAAATCCTCGCAGTAAAACATGGTCCAGGGGGTCAAGAGCATCCTGCTGAGGTATATGAACATTATTCAGGGTGTCTGCACATCATGAGACACCCTCTTTAAAGTCAGAGAAATTTGATCTTTTAGCAATACAGGGAAGATTACTCAAGCTTTTATTTCCTCATGACTGGACTACAGCAATGCCTTGTTTACCTTTCTCAGTGCCTGAGATGTAGCCAAACATCAGACTGTGCAAAAACTCTGCAGCCAGACTGCTGACAAAGACCAAACGCTCTTCTCACATCGCATCAGTTTTAGCCTCCCTGCACCAATTTCCTTTAGAATCCATTTAATCATTACTTACAATGCTTTGCATGGCCAGGCGCCAGAATACATCACTGAACTTTTAACTCCCTATTGTCCAAAAAGGGACTCTCAGATCCGCTGGGTTAGGCCTGCTAGCTGTTCCAGAGTCCAGGTTAAGGTCGAAGGGTGATCGATTTATTTTCAAAAAATGCTCTGTTGTGCAAACTTGATTTTCAGTTTGTTTTAATAGTTTCACCTGTCCTACCTTATATGCTTCGGAATGATTCATTTGTAAACTTATTTTATAAAGTCTTTTTTAATATTTTGTATTGGTATTGATCTGCTGTCTATGGAAAGCACTTTGTGCTCCCAGCTTGAAAAGTGCTATACAAATAAAAATTATTATTATCAGATTAGATATAGACTTGGATGCCAATTAGCTCGCATCAGAATGTAAAGACAATTTAATTGCTGACAACAAAGTCAAGTGTCAGATGGGGAGTAGGGTGCTGTGTCTGCTACGTCTCTGTGGTTCATCATTTGTTTTTTCTCTTTTGTGTCATCAGGTGCATGGCTTCTTCAAAGGCATGACCTTGCCCCTCATCACGATCTCTATGACTTCTTCGGTGGTGTTCGGCACATACAGGAACTGCCTGCATTGTCTGAGTCAGGCGCGCAGAGCTGGTTATGGTCCAAACACCAAACTAGATATCTTCCTCTCTGGTATGATGGCGGGGGTGGCTCAGGTAACAGATATTTTTACAAAAAGTGCTGCATTATTTGCATCGATAATGTGTTTCATTCCACCTGCAATTGAGGCTGTGAAAGGAAATGCAATGCATAGATTACATCCATGTGTATATTTGGCATATATGCCAGCAAAAAACACAAATAAAATACATTTTCCAACGTATCCCCAGATGTTTATAGCTTTGCGGTTTTATTTACACATGTTTTGAGGTATCTGCTTCTGACATTTCTGCCTTTGCATCTCTCCTGATCTGCCTCCAACAGACATCAGTGATGTCTCCAGGTGACATAGTGAAAGTGCGTCTGCAGTGTCAGACGGCGTCAAAGCGAGGAGGAACCAGCACGCCCAAACCCAAGTACCGAGGTCCAGTTCACTGTCTGCTGAGCATTGTCAAAGAGGAGGGTCTCAGGGGCCTTTACCGAGGAGCGCTCCCACTTATGCTGAGAGACACGGCGTCGTACGCCACATACTTTCTGACTTACGCAACGCTCTGTGAATGGCTGACAGACAGCGGCAAGGACAAACCAAGTGAGTGAAGTCAACACCGCATTTTCTTAAAATATCTGCTCTAAATTGAAAATGTTGCATAAGCTGTAATGTAGCTCATATCCTTGAGGAGGAGCACTATCAAGGCCAATAAGCACTTCATGGGGCAGCTTAAAGGCAGATAACAAAACTCTTTCCTCTTTATGTTACAATGTCCTTCAGGATTAAAAAGAGAAGCTTACATTTGAAATGTTAGTGTATCCCTTTTAACTTCAGCGTCTTTCTTTTAACCTCCTCCAGGTTGGAGTGGCGTGATGCTGGCCGGTGGATTAGCAGGAATAGTAGGCTGGACCTTAGCAACCCCCATGGACGTGATCAAAGCGCGCCTGCAGATGGACGGAGCGCTGGAGAAGAGGCGATACAAGGGTTTCTTTCACTGCATCACTGAGACGGTGAGGTCGGAGGGTGCAGGGGTGTTCTTCAAAAGCTTAGGCATCAACTGGCTGCGCGCATTCCCCGTCAACATGGTGGTGTTTGTTACATACGAGGGTCTCACCAAGTTTCTCCGAGATAGCACTCGCTGACCCCGTTCTCAAAGCCTCATATTTGTAATGGGGATGTAAATTTATACATAAGGGCAAAGACATTTGGCAAGGAAATGTCTGGTGCAATGTAGTATTTCCATGGAAGGATTGTGTATACAGCCGTGTTAAATATTTAGTTAGGTCGAGTAACGTATTCTAAAATGGTCAGGGGGTTATTTGTCAGTAATAAGTAATGTTGGACCAGCAAACCTTTCACCACTAGATGGCCTCCCTGGCCTGCTTGTTACATTTTTTTTCTCCTTTTGCTGTATGCTTATGAGAAGAGAACATTCTGCACGACTGGTGTAGTTTTTCACCAGAAGAGCAGCGCAGCCAGAAACCTCAGAGTTTTTAGACTGACAAACCATATCTGTATTCGACTGTATTCAAGAGCCATTTAAGGCCTAGCGTTGGTTAGCGTTGATGAATGAGCTGCTGCACGCACACTTTACTTTGTGATACCCGTCCAGTCCCTCGCTGCATGTATACATATATCATCCATGACTCATTTCCAGCTCACTAGCAAAATGGAAAAGCTGGACAATTGAAATAAAACATCTTGATATTTTCGTTTGAGTACTGATGAACTGGATTTATGAAATTATTATTCTATTAATAGAATTATAAGAAGAATCAGTGGACTCAGGATGATCAGTAAAGTGGTTTATCACTGTTACACACTACAACCACCTTTGAAATCCTCAAAGCACATTGTCTGTAGTCAGAAGACGGCGCACATCTGTATATTTATTTATTTCATTCCATCTTCCTCTCAAACATTTATAGAAGTTTGAAGTAGTGTTACTGAGTGGCGTGCAGATGTTTTAAGGATAAAGGTTTGGTCTCAGAGTGGGGGACAGTGAAATCAGGGTTCCTCTACCAGGGGAAAAATGCAAATGATATTTTGTGTAATAGGGCCCATTTTTACCTGTCACAGCAGGGCGGACACAGTTGTAAAATTACTTATGGTCCCATTTTAGTCAGTGTGTCACAGACATTTCAATGAGCCAACATGCACGACGGGGGCCCTGGCCCACATAAATGGGCTGTAATTATTGTCAATAATTACACCTGTGTTCACCCTGCAGTGACATGTAGAAATGGCTGTTATTAAAGGCACTTATTTATTTGTATGATTATCATGAAAATGCATATTGTGCCTTCCGTTATAAAGGAATTTAAACCAAATAACTAAATACTGTATTCATCTCTGTTTTATTACTGCACTATCGCCACTAACCCAACATATTCCCCGTTGCACCAAGAGCGTTCTCTTTACGACCTGAGCCTTGATAAATATTAGCTTCGAGGATCTTTATATGATTATATTATAAATACAGCTGTAAATGGAAATGAATGCAGCAGTCAGGAAGTAAGCAGTGTTCTGCGCACAGCGCCCTCACCTCAAGACAAAACCAAATTAATGTTTTTTTTATGAATATAAAATGTGTTCTACTGTATATGTAACACAATGTCGATCATAATGGTAAAGTGCCAGTTGAGGGTCCATGGGACACAGATATACACACTTAATCATAAAGTATGCAGGTGACTAGACAGAAATAGACGCATACAAATACATACAAAACAATGAACTTCTTCACAACAAGGCCCCCTAACACCCTGTTTACAGGCGCTGCTGAAATGTGCCCTGTGTGTGTTGCGCGGATCATAGTTCTATGTGCACTGTGCTAATCTGTTCTGTGGGGTTCTACCACCATCTACTGTACGAGTTGGACACCACCTTGATGTAATGTCATCCACATCAGTGTCTGCAAACCCACGTAACCAAATTGCACAGGCTTTGCTCCGACCAAGACCATGCTCATGTATGCTTCCATCATTTAAAATGCTCTTGATCTACCCGATCCTAATGAACTATAGAGGAAAGTATGCAATGTTGTGTGAAGCAAGAATCTATTTTGTGAGCAATGTGAAAATGTACATCTTATATAAGCCATTATGTTAAAGAGGAGAACAAGTTGTCCAGTATAATCTTAGACACCTCAGAAAATATCATTTGCATGACTACAAATTAAACTCGGAAACATCGCCACTGTTTTATCTGACTTGAGGTGGACTGTGCAACATCGGTTTCATTTTCCAAAAAGGAACTACTTTTTATTCACTACTAGATGTAGTAAATGTATGTAGATTTGGTTGTAAGTGGTGTGTGGAGAAAGGATATCAAAGGGAAGTCAAATATCAACATCTGCCAGAAATGTCCATAAATGTCGCTGGGTGACATCCCTCGTAAAAAGCTTCTCGAATAGAGCAACCACCTCTTACATTCCCCATCAAATACTTAACAAGACAAGCCTATGTATTGTTTAGTAAATAATTAACTGAATCACGTTATCCCACAAGCAATATCGAATGGAATCCAGGAAACATTTTAAGAGCTGCTTGAGAGAGTGAAGTGCCAACGCTCCGACCGGCCCACAGACAATATCACTGCAATAACTCCATCTCTCTTTCCAACTCTCGGTATTTGGGGAACTTGTTGTGTGAACTCACAGTTATGAACTCCACACATGAGATATGGGTTAAATTATGTTTTCATTTGTTATACATGTGTAATTAGCTCATGTTTATCCCTCGCCATGAGTGCAATGACGTTTGAATTGCTTCACGAGTAACAGATTTACTCTATGGATGAATGGGAGTCATATTGGGTGAGAGATCTGTTTTCAATTATTCTGTGGCAGGCCTTTGGATTACACACTGTAAACAAGAACAAACTAAACATAAAAGGAGTGTCTTATTAGCATATTTGTTGTTTGTTCTTGACAATCTTGAACGTGTTTTATAACTTGTAAAGATCCGTTGGTCTTAATAAGTAGTGACCAAACGGCACACTTGTGAGACTTTCTGTGTAGTTCACAGCCTTTGATCTGCAAGGGTAAAGGGTTTGGCTGTACATAATACGGTGCTGTTGCTGAATCTGAACTCTTTTTATTTCAGTCCGCCAGGCTTCAGGAACCAGGCGTTTTCACGATTGGATGCTTGCTGAAATTCTAGGAATTGCAGACTGCGCTGTGTAACAACAAAAGCCCTGAATGTTGCCTTTGTAAGCTGCTTTTAATTAAACACTGCATGTCTCTCCCCCCCCTTATGCAACACCAGCCTGCAATTATGCATGCATCTAAAGATCTCATTGAATAAATTTACAGGCCGGTTGGTCGAGTAATGACTGGAATTAAGTGACACCTTTTCACAGATTTTTTTCAGACAACTTTCAACATGTTTGCCATGCTTCGATCTTACTGTATTTGCTCACAAAACATGCTCCAAGAGATGAAGTAAAACCTACACAAGAGACGTGTCCCGTTAGTAATATTTGTCAGTGATGACTTTCATGTCTTTTAACTGTATCACAGTATACATTTCAATGGCCTATGTTGTATATTCTTGCATCACATAGAAGCCCTCATCAATAGGCCCTAATTATCAATCTAATTCATTCCAAATCTTACGAATTCCAACTGTCTTTCCAAAGAAGTGCACAAACGCATGATAAATCAACCAGGAGGGCGACTCATTAAATGGCGTTCACATAATGTTGGAAAGCTTAATTTTGTTAGAATCGGTCCTCGGCAACTACCACTTGGGGCCCCCATTCACCAATTGCTGTTTGGGCTATTTTGGGAGCTCTGCGCTCCCCTGTTAGTGACGTGTGCTGCTGGGTAAATTTGCAGCTCCGGGGGCCTGGGCCTGCAACCTCAGATGGCATCAATTGGCAGAACACGGCAGGGTGGGAGGGATGAGATGGAAGGGTAACAGCGAGGATGCTAGAAGGAGAAGAACAGAAACGAAGGAACTTGACAGAAAAAACTAAAAAGGCCCAATTATTGCAAGATGACACAAGGACATGAGTGGGGTTTGAATGAAAGTACACAATGTTCTAAATGATAAAAAAAAAATATATAGAAACTAACCAAATAACCAACTAATCCAATAGAAATAGGTATTTTTTAATTAATCTAAATAGGAAAATCAGTTTGCATCAGATAAGAGTGACGAAGGCAGCATAAATGAGGATAAATTAACTGATTCTTACTGATGACTAACAAGTGTAGGGAAGTGTGAGGTGATGACAGAGGTGGATGAGAGTGGGGGCGCTGTTGTACTTCATACTAACCAACTGTGGCAAATGGAAAGAGGTAAGGACATACTGAATAAATCTGTTTGATGCTCAGTGCAAATCTGCCTGATATGCAGATTGGTTATACATTTGTTTTGTTCCTTCCATGAAGGACTGCTTTAATGACGAGCAAAATAGATTTTAAATGGAAAATCACCAGTTCTTCAAAGTAATTCCTCTTTAAAAATAACAAATCACAGCTGTTGGAATGTATTTATTTGGGCAGAGACATACTAACTAATACAATCATTGATTGCTTATTAAATATTAACTGTTAAAATCAATAGCAACTCATTCAAGTATCCATAATAGGAACCAGTTCAGATCTCACCTTCACGCAATGAAGCCACATGAGGCCATTTGCAATTATGCCAGATAGAAAATTGAATTAAAAATGTATAAAACTGATGTTTTGATGTGATAGCAAACTATCAACACACTATACAACATAGAGGGCTACGTTGTGGTTTTGTGGTAAGTGGTTTGTTTTCCAGAATAAGATCTACTAAAAATGATTTAGCCAAATTCTTCAACTCATTGGTCTGCATGTTTTGGACATTAGCTGAGAGAGATTTAATTCAAACCGGGTCTTTCAGGTTGTCTGAGGTGCTGGAAAACCATAATAAGCAACTCAGAGGATCCATAACTTCACCATAAATTCCTGAGACCTCCACTAATTACAGAGGTGGGGCAGTAAACTCCCATAATAGGGATTCGCGTATTCCCTCCAGCACAAATATCCCAGATTACCCCCACTCAAAGTTCTCAGCACTGAAAAAAAGTTTGCGTAAATCAATACAACACCTACTTTCTCTTTCCTGTAACATCTAATCACCGCTCTGGTTATGTCTTTATTTGAGACACTGGCACTGAGCCAGGTCTCTGTGGAGACGTCCTGTGCAGTCGCACTTCATAACATAATGTAAGAATTCAAATATGGGATTTGGTTTCTTGTGTTTATCCTTAGAACTGTGAACTTGACATTCCGTGGAGAATATTTTTCACACCCCTGCACAAAACTTCACAGCTCTTCATTTTAAAAACAGATATATTTTACTTTTCTTTATACATTTATTGTCAACTTTATTTGTTTCTTGACTGTTGCAGTATTTGCTTTTCTTGTTGTCTTACTATGTTTACTGTTTAAAACACTAGAGCAAACACTAGAAGCTGAAGCTCATATCACTCGAGTCAGAATCTATTATTTACATTAGACATTTTAGAAGAGTTTTAGGTATGAGAGCCCAAACCTGTCTCATTTAGAGAGAAATATACTGCTCTCTGATTTGTGCATAACATAATGGTGATGTTGATGAACATTTCTGCAAATTCAGAAAATGGTCATACCGAATCTGCATTCATAGCAACATAGCAATTGAAGCATGATTAACTTTGTTTTATGTTTAGGCACTCTGAGTACATGGTTGAGGATGTTGACCAGTGAAAAAGTCAAACACAAGACAGGACATGCTTACCTGAAACCACAGTCTCCCCCTAACCAGTACGCAGTATTCAAAGAAGTGAGACCACTTCTCTCACAAGCTCTTTTTGAAATTCCTAAAACAATTACTTTTGTCACCATCTCATGAACAAGTGCAACGCCATGAATGCTTTCTAGAATAGACTGCCCGCAAGTATGTGCCCAATAGATTTGTTATGTATTGCTATGCATGATTTTATCAGGAACAGCTTTAAACATTTTTTGCTTTCAGATGTGGTCAGTCAACATGTTGTATCAAAGCATACTCCGACCACATCAACAGATTGCATGCAACATATCACTCGATTTTCTGGAGAAAAAGAAAAATTGGTTTGTGGCAAATCAAATTAGTTGTATAAATGACCCAAACAATAGGACAGCTGTACAATGCAGAAAACTGTAGGAATGCCAATGTGATTGGAACTAATTCACCCCAACTGTCTCTTGGGAGCAGCCTTAATGTTGCATGTTCATTTGGCTCCGGCTTTGTAAGGGTCAAGTCAATCTCTGCCATACAGTTGTCCAGAAAAAGGCACAACCAAGATATGTTAGTTTGATATTGATTTATGTCTCTGTAACAAGGGACAGGTGAGGGTCCAGCAATCACGCAGCACTTAAGAATGCAAGACGGTGGTGACGTGTAGTCCTCTTTTCGTTTTTGCTGACTGTTTCAGCCTAATGTCATTTGTTCTGGTATACAAGATAACAGATGGCACACAGGCTGGAGGCAGGCAGGGAAGCGGGCCATTGGCTCGTCGGAATAAGAATTCTCCCAAACGGAGCCCAGAATGATCAGGCTTTAGTTAACAGGGGGAAATGAAATAGGCTTACAATTGATAAGGATTGCACGCAAAAATGTGCAAAATGGAATCTGTATTAGGAGCCGAGGGACATGTTAGAAACTGGAACAAAAAAAAAAGATGTGGATCAATGATCAAAGAGCTTTCTGCCTGTCTGTTTAAACCCAAACTATGATCTTTTTCTAAATATCACCTAGTAGTTTTGTTGCCTAAACCTAAGGAGATTTCTGAAGACGGGTCAGTGAGTTAATCGGGTCAGTGCCTTGGATCATCACTACCCGGATGGAGAACAAATCACCTTCAACAACTCCAGATGTTGCAGTAGCTTGTGAACCAGGAAGCCAAGCCACCCATAACTGCATGCACAGAGCAAGGGAATCCACACTACGCCTGACCTCAAACACTGATCAGTAATACTGATTGCCACAGCAACCAGTCTTTGTTTAAAGGAGCAATAACAGGCCAAAGGAGGTGCTTGAGAAAGTGAACTGAATTGAACCGTGCAAGGGTCTGCAGAGTGCACGAAGAAACAGGGAGAAGATTAGTGAGAAGGAAGGCCGTTGTTTTGCGAGACAAGATAATGAGCATGCATGGAAGAAACAGAGGAGGCACGAACAGAAGAAACACAGCAGCAAGCGAAGGACAACGAGAGAGGGGAAGTAAAGAGGAAGAGAAGCAGAAGCAAAGACAGAAAGAGGAGATAGAATAAGAGAGGGGTGAGTGGACGGAGCCGTCACGCAGCGCTGGGAGCGAGTCTTGATGAGGGCATCTCTCATCGCCAAGTCACTCTGACAGCCTGGTGCGATGGTGGATGGCGCACACAAACAGGCAGGAGATTCTTGACTCGACGACACTTATGCAGAGGAGAGCCAGAAAAACAAACCCAAAATATTAAAACCATGTGTTGAGCCAGATAAGCTGTAGATAAATTCCACATTTCCCTCGTTAGTTAGGACAGTCTCTGCAGCGTAATGTTGTAAATATGCTCAGACTTTATAAGATGACGGAATTATTACATCTTCTCCGTAGTGAAAACTCAGCAACATCAGACTGTATATTTGTAAACCGACCTTGATAAAGTTGCAGAATAACAAAAAACATTGGAGCACATTGGATTTTACCGCGAGTGTTCAGCTCAGAGAGGAAACAACTGGGATATGGGTATGACAGGGGAACTACAATATCAGAGGCAACACAGTCAGAGTTAACATGTTACTCATTAAAAGTGTTGGAAGAAGACACCAAATCAGTGTACTTTCTCACTCCCAACTCATCAAACCAATGCTTATTCAGTGGGCCTAAGCTTCGAACCCGCGTGACTAGCGGGTGACAAGCGAGTCACCTGATTGGTCAAATATACCAAATAACCCGGTCAAAAAACCAAGTCAAATAGTCCTGACCTGGGGAACCCAGGACCATGAAGATCCCAGTTTTTCGTTGACGTGACTTACGACACTAACGGCTCACATGGCTAACATGTCAATGTTTACTTTTAGTTTCACACAGGACACGAAAGTCCTGTGTTTGTTTGACCCATCCCCACCGCTTTATACTACGTCAGATGGTCTGAGGGTCTAATATTCACACGGATGGGTTTATATTGGAGTTAGTTAGGTGCGTTAATATCACGAGAGAGAGCTGTTTGTTTCCAGATTCCTAAAAATCATAAGTACACATTGCACAGTGTTAAACTCACAGTGAAAAAAAGATGTGTGTGGGGAAAGGGTGGATGGTTCCAACAGAGCTCAGCAGGACAATGGGCTTGTGACCAAACCCACTTCAAAGTTATCTGCGGCAGATCAGAAAACAGTCATGTGAATCATTAAAATGAGCGTTTGTAAATGTTTTGTAAGGCGCCGACGATCAACGTTCTTTCTAATTGGACATTAGATCAGAACATCGCAGAACTTGTCGGTCTCTTCAGCCTCTATCCTCTGCAACAAATGTATTATTCATGTTGCAATCTTGTTGGAGTATTACATTACTCTACATATAGCAACATTTGCTTCATATATTGATATACAAAATGATTCTGACCTCCACTAGTGATTATGTAACCTCACGCATACGTGCACCTGCAAGATCATTAAAAGGAAAATTAACATGTGAGCAAATCAAGACTTGTGTTTTTCTGGGTTGAACCGTCACGTCTGTACTGGTTCCTGTACGGTAACGTCTGACTCAAGAGGCGAAGCCGTTCAAAGTGCACAGAAAATGTACACAGCGCACTTTGTTGGAGTTGTGAGAGTTAAGAAAAGCGTCCTTCGCAATAATTCTAAAATTGAAAGTTAAGTATGGACTAATCTACAAATTAACAAACAATCCCTTATAAGGACGGAGGCTAATCCCTCTTTGGGCTTGGATAAATGTTCAAGCTGATAAAATCGTAACAAGCATGCTGTTAATAAGGATCGGGTTGAACAAACAGATTGTGGGTTGGTTGTAAGGACAAGTATATATTGTCGTTACATATATGGACTGCTCTGACCAGTCTTTGTTCACAGTAAATCCTTACAGTTTAGGGCTTCAACTAACAGTTTGTCATCGTTGAATCTGTTGTATATTTTCTCCATAAATCGGAGAAAAAAAAGAGGACAAATGTCCACTGTGACATCTTCAAAGGACTTGTTTTATCTTAAAACTATTCGGTTGTCTCTCAAAGAACACTGAGAAGAACTGAAAGTACCATTTCATTTTGATTGACTAATCTATTGATGGACTGCTCATCTCAGTTCAAATACAGTTCAATTGTAGTACAAACATAGGCCTTACCACAGGATATATCATGAATGATGGTTCCGCTCCAGTAATTAGTCAGTCAGTGTGCCTACAAGCACAATGGCGCTGTCCAGGAAATATCCTGTCGTCAGCCAACTGTAATGTAGAGAAAAATATGTCAGAACACATTGTTCAGACTTATAATAAGGGGGGATGAGGTCTGGTGGGAGCCCTGGAGGTGTGATCGGGGTGGTTTGCTGCACTCTCATGAACTCCGTAGTTCTAGCAGAGCTCAGGAGAACATTGGGCTTCTTGACAAAGAAGCCTTGTATCCTTTTGGAAGACCGCATGAGGCCACAACCTTTTGTTTCCCTCGGCTCAGCTTCAATGCATTGTTGGCACGGGCAGCATTAGTTTAGTTTCTTGTGTGGTCATTATGTGGCTGTACATTCCCATGCCTTCTTTGTTGCTGAGCCACCTTATAATGGTGAATAGTCTTCTTGTTAGACTGAGCTGTGTTGTAATTTACCTCTATCCTGGAGTAAAAGGCTTTCGTAGTAGCTGGTTTTCACTCAAGACCGTACAAGTACTGATTTCCATTACTGAGAATATCAAGACACAAATATTGATATGAACTGTTTTATTGTGCAATATGATCATGTCTATCTGCTTGTCACCTTTTCACGTCGTCGTTTCTCATGTTTGGTGAGCTGAGATCACTTTAAGCCCTCAAACCATTTCTCACAAATCATTTCATAAATGATTGAGAAAAAGCAGCCAGTGCTTTTTTATTCTACTCAAAATACCCAATGTTCTCAAGTCATGGCTTATGAAGCACTGAATTGGACATATGAAGGATGTAAATTGGTACGGTTAATGGGTGACATTCCTCTGGTGATGGCTTTTATTATCAGATAATGGCGCCCTGATTATAAATCAGACCTCTGATCTTGTGGTCCAGTTGACCGACTCACAGAGTAAAGCAGAGGGAAGAAGAAGAGAGGCAGAGGAAGTAGAGCTGAACACGATGAGGATGTAGAGTGATATCAATGCTGTTTATCTCATTCGGACAATTGGATTCATTTTTATGACTTTTAAAAGTGTTAAATAGCGAGCTGGTTTGGTAGATAATACCATTTGCCAGTGATTTTCCTCTATATAGCCTGTACATTTGCACTTTGCATAACATATATATCAATATATTTTCAATGGGTGATTTCATTTTAAACTAATAAAAAATGTGTGCTTCCATCAAAAGGGTGGTGAAGATAATTCTCATGAAAAGATTCAAGAGAAGTGAAAAGATTTTTCTTTTCAGCATCTATAAATATGCAAATCATTTTCATTTCAAAAGACACTGGACGTCTTCTGCTTTACTCAAACGTTTCAAAGTTCAACATCACACTTGACGCAAATCCTGCTTGCACGTGCGAGACTTGAAATGAGCTTTAAGTGGAACACAGAGAAGCCTTCCTCCATCAGCAGATTAATTAGTAAACAGCCTTCTGGGGTCAAACCCTGCACATACATCAATCTGCTTAACACATGCAAGTGAAGGAACAACAAGCAAAAACCCGTGTTATATTACATCAATTTTCAAGTTGGTTGAATCTTGAACTCTGTACCGGGGGCAGTTGTGCTCATCATAACACCAGTTAAGGACATGTTAAACATGTGACAACAGTCATCCTGCATACACACGTAAAGAGGAGCTCAGTTTAAAGCTCACGATAACAATTTTTACCTCAATGAAATACAATTCCAACACCAAACAACTAAATGAGCACACAGCACAAACGGTGCATGCACACATAGCGGTGCAGGCGATTCTGCCATTTCATGATACCTGCACACATGACATGTTGTTACGGAGGCTGATACTCCACAGATTACAACGGTATAACTCATCACTCTACCACCTGCGGTCAAAGAAGAGAAAAAAATTAATTTCACTGTATACAACCATAACCATGAATTATATTTTATTTTTGCTGTTTTGTGTTCTAAAGTTGTGTGTGAGGGGATATTAACTCTGCTAATAGCAGCTGCTTTAGCTTACATTAAACCTCTGACACAAATATTTTGAAGGACTTTGGTTCCATGAAGCCTTCGTCAGTGGATCAGCAACATACAACATTAGAATTGGATGCTAACCCACCACTCCAACACACAGCCTGTACACACAGCCTGTACCCTACATTTTTCTGAAGAGTTTTTTTTTTTAACTACAGCTGTGATAGAAAGCATCTAGATTCAACAGTCCCATCCATCTCCCTGGAGAATGTAAAGATAAGTGACATTGTTGACAGTACTACACTGTGGTTCAGACTATACGGAAAATACCTTAAAGTTTCATTACCAGATGATAACGAGCTTGTTGCAATTGAGGTCATGCATCATAATGATGCAATGTAGGACTTGATGTGAGTAATAACAGGTACAAGATACTGCAGTGCGTCATTGTCTTTCTCAACCCACAACATCAGTCTTTTTCTTTTTTTTCTTATCTCTGTTATTTGAATGAAATCTCCCAGAACATAAAAGCATCATTTTCACAGTTACATAAAGCCTGGCAGAAAACTGACAATGCAGATGGAGCATAAATTGTTGGACACCTCCTTCAGTTGAGTGTCAGAAAGGAAAAAGGCAAAATAAATTGCATTTATTTGCATTGACTTAATGTATTTTGCCTTAACTGCATGTATGCTGAAATACTTTGACCTTGTTTTCCACATCCGGACACTATCCAGTCCTGTTACAGAAACAGATGGAGAAAGACTGTTTTTCTTCTGACTGTCAGAAACTGGCATCAGAACATCAGCGCTGACACACAGACTGAACTCTTTGTCCCTTCATCCCTGTTAAGTAATTTAACATACAATGAAATGATTTCAACACCGGGTCAGCTCTTTCTGTGATCATCGGGGGTGAGCTATGTACATTTATTTAGACTGTGTACACAAACATACCAGGTGCATTCCCTGTGTGCGCCTGTCTCATTACCTCTAATGTGTAGGGCTAAATTGACATGCACATCTTAGTAGTATTTGGCCTAACTTCCGTTTAACAGAACAGAACAAACTGTTGGAGATAAGTAACCTCAAGCTGATGTTCTCTGTTCTCACCCACATTCCTTTTCCTTTTTCTGACCGCACAAGGGGATCGGATTTAAAACAGACAACTCGTGTTAGGCATGGGTCACAAAATTGCAATTACTCTCCAAAACATCAACAAACTTACCAAAATAATAAAGACTTCACAAAATGCATTAGAAAATAGAATACAAAAGACAAGATAAAATGCATACCAGCATACACCACAAACCAGGAAGTGGTAGGACCCCAGACAACAAGAGCTGGCCATGACTATGACTTTGTTTATGTCCTGTTATGTGGGTGGAGAGTTACACCAATCATTGGTTACACCTGCCCCACTCACCAGTCCCTGGTGGCTACACATGCATAATTTCAAAGCACAAGGATGAGTGGCCATAGACTGTTTATAAGAAGTTGACGTAGTCGATGTGACGTCACCGATTGGTTTGTGAACTACGGTTTTGAAGCCTTGAGTATGGCGATTTGGCCAACGCTATCTTGTTTTTCTTTTTGCAATGAATGAACACAAGTGACCATATTTGGACTGTGGAGGAGTGATTTGATTTTAAAGTGACCTTTACATTAGAATCACAAAGACAAGTTTAGATTTCAATCGATAATGAACACCAAGAATAATGCACTCCATGTTCTTTCTGTTTCTACTTGACAAATGTAAAGTCACAGATGCCTGGGACCAGGCTAGCCTGTAATGAGGCCAATGGAGTTAACATACCGGAACGTAAAGAGGTCACACAAGCCTACATTTGACTTATACAAAGGCTCGACACAGCAGGCTCGCATCATATTAATGCTGGTGTTATTTGCATGTCAAATGCTCCAAAACCTTCTCTGCTCCACTTAACAATTCTTACGTCTGTGAAAGGACGTAAGAATGAATGTTAGGTTTAGGCAAAAAAAAACACTTAGGAAAAACATCAAGGTTGGGCTTAATATAGGTGTGTAAAGGTGGGTAACAAAACAAACGTTAAGTTTAGGCTTCTAAATCACTTAGGTTGAAGAAAAACGCCACGAATGCAACATTTTTGTGTATTTGTGACCCAACAAAACTTTGGGATATCAACAGCGGTCTTGAACACTGATCTTGTGGTTACAAGACCTGTGTTTGTGTGATCCATCCAACTCCCCTCCTGTTTGATAACACGTAACTAGCTCTGTCTGTGCATGGTCACATGGATGCCTTTAATCTGTGTGTCCACCCCATAAATCGAACCTAGTTACTAATTACGTAATGCGTTGTTAACAGGTCGCAACCGTTTCTAGCTTTCAGTTTTACCCGTTATAGGGGCGTGAGAACAAATGGAGGGGCCCTATTATTCCTAATTGTCACCATCATTCTGCTTTGGCACAGGAAAATACAAATAGCAACGTTGATTGACTTTGATTAAATTAATTTGTTTTGGGAGGTTAGTCCCTCTTGCATTAGACTCGCTCAATGAACCTTCATCTCGCTGACCTGATTCAACCTCTGCTGCATTGCTCAATTTGCCAGTTTGTCTCACTGCTGTATTTGAAGATACAGGGCCTTATTCTGCAAATAGCACTCTGCCAGCAACAGGCCTTCTAATTTGTTTTCTTTAGGAGACCACCAACCCAAGCCTCATTAGGGAAGAAACATTCAGAACCCATGCAGAGCATTGGAGTGTAGAAAAAAACTTAAATTAGGATACACAAAAAATTTGAGGATTATTAATTATTTAAATTTGACTAAGTAAGCATTTCCATATCAATAGAACTGTATTTCATTTTGTTTTGAACTTGGATTTACTGAACAGTGTTTAGTTTGTATTTGTGCAACAGAGCTCTGCTAAATTCTAAATATGGATTTACTCATTTTAAACCTATAGTTTTTTTTAACTGATTAAAACTAATCTCGGATTAAATTAATCCTTGCTGGTGCAACACGGCCTGAGAGGATTGAGGTGTCAGCAGTCACTGACAAAACATTTTGAATTCCCATAACCAAGAGAGGTCCTTGAGCATAAAGTCATAAATGAGCAGAATTCAAGATTAGCTTTGGACAGACAGATCTAATAAACTGAGAAATCTTTGTGTTTATGTTTGAAATTATAAAAACAAATGATAAGTTACAGGATCAGAATTAAGAGAATGATTCACTGCAGCAGGCGCCAACAAAAAAACAATTCTATGAATTGTCCTCTGGTTCTGGTTAAGGTCAATAAAGAGCACAGGAAACACAACAGACTTGTGGAATGAACAACCAAAGTGACAGAAGTCTGGTGACTAAATGTCTCAAAGCGTGCAGGAAATGAACAGCAGCGTTCACTTACGTTTAAAAATAGTATTCACTCAAAACATTCAAGGTTTAAACTACAAAATGACCCGACGACGCGGCTGCTCCACGGAGGAAATACCATCTGACTCGTGCATGCAGTGTCTGATGTTCAAGGAAGTGCAAGGTGGCGTCAACCAGCGTCCAGCCAGCACCCTCGACATGCGCAAGGGTGCGAGGGCCCGATCGATGCTGCTTGGAGATTTAATTTGGTATTGTGTCCATCTGAAGAATGTTCATCCGCATGATAGGACATCTTTCATATCATAAAACAGTCATTGATACAAAGTTTAAACCAGGATATGGGATGACATTAAGAGAGTTTGCAAAATGAAACCTCTCATTTTTGTTTTTCTGGTTCTGAACTCAATATTTGACATCAAAGAAAATGTCAGAAGAGAAAAGGGCTAGAGCTCATATAAGCATCAGAGGGAGGAAGCCGGCTGAAAGGCTTTTGAAGTGCTCATGACAACAGCAGGACACTTTGCAATATCTGAGAAGTGCCCTGAAATATTTGTGGAAAGCATTCGTACAACAACAAAAGTGTAAACTACCTGTTGAACTCTAACATATCTGCTTTCCTGGAAAAACTCTCTGCTTTGGAATTGTGGACTTTCTGATTTAAGCCACATGGATTTATAAAGATAAGAATGAACTAACGAGATTTTACCAGATTTCGATTTGTCACATCTGACCTTCAGGCTTTGAGTTTATCTGATAAAAAATGGTAATCTAAAAGAAATATGCAAAGGATTTACAGTATAATGTCAGATTACACCTGACATTATACTGTAAATCCTTTGTAAATTGATATTGGATGGATATATCAAACTCAAAGACTGCAGATCAGATGTGACGAAATCAAAATCGGGTCAAATCTTGTTAGTTTACTCTTCCAATTGAATGCAGCTGCAAACAGTTCAAATCGAACAATATTTCTTTCCCCCCACAACATGCTTTGAAAACCAGCCCGGTCTCACAGATATAAAAGAAACGGTTGCGACCTGTTAACAACGCATTACGTAATTAGTAACTAGGTTCGATTTATGGGGTGGACACACAGATTAAAGGCATCCATGTGACCATGCACAGACAGAGCTAGTTACGTGTTATCAAACAGGAGGGGAGTTGGATGGATCACACAAACACAGGTCTTGTAACCACAAGATCAGTGTTCAAGACCGCTGTTGATATCCCAAAGTTTTGTTGGGTCACAAATACACAAAAATGTTGCATTCGTGGCGTTTTTCTTCAACCTAAGTGATTTAGAAGCCTAAACTTAACGTTTGTTTTGTTACCCACCTTTACACACCTATATTAAGTGTTTTTTTTTTTGCCTAAACCTAACATTCATTTGAAAGTTGCGCTGAGTGACAGAAAAAAAGAGAGGAAAATGTGTGACCATGCACACGAATCAATAGATCAAATTCCGTGACTATTTCAGGAACTGCTGTGTTAACAAAAGTATGGAGGCATGTATTGCGATGGATGTGTTTCCTAACCTATCTATCTGAGCTTTTTAGTTTGCACATATCGTCTCAGCAGGTGTGACAAAAGCATCAAAATGTAACGAGGCAAAGTTCAGAAACTGAAGACAGGCACTTTTAAGGGGTGGTGATAGATCTATTTGTTATGAAGTGTATATTGAAATCTGTGTGTTTGGTTTAGCCTGCTAGGTTTACAAAAGAATAACGCTGTGTCAGTTTAAATTCTTTGAATATTACAATAATCTCAGACAAGACCAAAGGCCACCACTATGAACTGGTGGCGGCAGCTCATTGCTTTTTCTTTATCTTTTCTCGGTCATCTGTAAATTATTTGATATTTATTTGACGTACACAGTTTCATTCTTGTGTCACTCATGTGTAAATATGATATTGTATCAACAAAGTACTGTATTAGTCACGTTTTTTGTTATAAATTGTGAGATTTTATGGAAACGCATACGTGCAAGAATGTTTTTCCTAGCTACGTATAAATTCTTTACTGGCATTCGTAAGGCATGGCAGATTCTCGTGAAAGTTCATCTGGCAGAAAATGAGGCATTTATACAGATTCAAAAAACAACGCTTTTCTGGTGACAAAGGTAAAAAGGTCCAACCAACCAACTCCTGAACAGTTAATTTAACATGTATGGATGATTAGCTTTGAATATCACATAAAGTACTTGATGACATGTACAATACTTTCTGCTAATAATCCCACCATACAACGCATCACATTTTGCAGAAGCAGAAATTATAGTCATGCGTCATTGCATCTGTTAGAGATGACACAACATAGTGATGATTCATATCGTGTCTGAAATCTCAATTTACTGTTCAATACAGAGTTAACCACTGAGTGTATATTTACAGGGAGGAAGTAATAAATGATGGAATGATATTGCCGGATTAACCTGCTGAGGCCTCGGGGCAAGAATGAGCTCATTGGGCCCCATTAACCCCCCCTTCCTTCCTTCCACTCTCAGTGTAAATTAAAATATTACCTTACCTCATTTTTGCTGAGTGGTAATTTCATTCAACATATTAATGGCAGTAAGTTCTAGGGCCCAAGTTAGTAATCCAGTTCGATGAGGCAGTGATTTTGGAGAAAGCCAAGGTGTGACAACTTTGTGTGAAGCGCATATAGACATAATCAGTTACACTCTTCTTCAACTCCAGCAGAGCAGTAGTTCCTCATTACGATGTCTGAAACATCAATGAAATCTGGTTGGCAATTAAATCAAAACATGCCCTTTCAGTTTCATTGGAGTGTTACAATATGTAACTTCCACAGACAGTATATAAGAAGTGGACGCAGTCGTTGTGACGTCATCAATTGGTTGTTTTGAAGCCTCGAGTTTGGAAGTTTTTGACCATCGCCATCTTGTTTTTTTTTGCAACCATAAGTGAGAGAGAGTGGAGCTAAGTACAACTGAACGCTGAATATGACATTTTTAAGCGATTAAAACCATTCCAATTAACTTTCATGAACTTAACACACACTCTGAAAGGGTTAAAGTTGTAAGACACAAACAACTCCCAGACCTGACAACGGCACGGTAGTGACCGGTCAATCACAAGGTAGCCCCGCTCTAAAGCATTCCTAAACTGACTTGGTCATCGTGACTTCACCAATTGTTTTTTTGGACTGCAGTTTTCAAGCCTCGAGTTCAGCAATTTGGCCAATGCCATTTAGGATTTTGGTCCCTGCCATCTTGTTTTTTTGCAACTAGTGAATGTGACCATGTTTTCAATGTTTACTGAGGTGTTAAATTAAGTGAGAAGTAGGGTCATTTTCTCATAGACTTCTATACAATCAGACTTCTCTTTGCAACCAGAGGAGCCGCCCCCTGCTGGCCAGTAGAAAGAATGCGAGTTTAAAGCACATTGTCTTAAATTTTCACTTTTTTTGAGGTAGCCGCCTGGTAACTAAAAATTTTTTTGAAATATATTATGCTCACGCATCATTTTTACGGACGTATTTGCCCTAAAACTGCGTTACATCAGAGGTCGTCAGTGTTTTCCCATTGCAGTTTTTTGTGTGCTTTCCAGGGTCAGTTCAGGTGAATTGTTTGCCTGCTGTGATGTCACTGCTTGAAATCCACATCAATAAAGGAGATCATCATCAACAAAGGAGTAAACACGGAG